ACAGTATTTCCAGCACTTTCGGGAAGCTCCACTATAAAGTCCATAGAGATCTCTTTCCAGGGAGCAGAAGGGTCTGCTACTGTTTGTAAAAGTCCAGGATATTTTCCTTGTCTTCTCTTTGGAGCAGCACAGGTGGGGCAGCTCGCAACATAGCTTTCAATGTCCTTTTTGAGGGACGGTCACCAAAATTGTCTTTTGATGAGGTGCAGAGTTTTTACAAACCCAAAGTGTCCCGCTATTTTGGAGTCGTGGCAGTGTTTCATGAGTTCCATTCTCTGGCTTGCAGGGACATAAAGTTTGTTCTCTACCCAAGCCAGTCCATCTTTGAGTAAACAAGTGTTTTTGTTAGCCTGGAGCCAGTCGTCCTTAAGTAGTGCCTCCTTAAATATTGACGTTGTTGTGTCTTCAGTCAGGGATGATTTTTTTTTCTCTTGTGCCCGGGTGATTACTTTGGCTGCTAATTGAGTCGGTTGGATCATCGGTTTTATAACCTCAATCTTTTTGCTGTTGTATTGGAGCTTTCTGGACAGTGCATCTGCTAAGAAGTTCTTTCTCCCAGGGAAATATTTGAGAGTGAAATTAAACCATTTAAAGTATTGAGCCCACTTTGCTTGTTTTTCGGAGAGTTTCCGTGGATTTTTCAGGGCTTCCAGATTTTTGTGATCAGTCCATACTTCAAAGGGGATTTGGTTTCCTTCCAGGAAATGTCTCCATGTGAGCATTGCCCACCGCACAGCATATGCTTCTTTCTCCCATATGGCCCATCTTTGCTCGGTTTCTGTCAGTTTCTTGGATGTATAAGCACATGGTTATAATTGTCCACTTCCATTCTTTTGGAGGAGGACTGCTCCAACTGCAACATCACTAGCATCTGCTTGGATGACAAAAGGTTGTTCAGGATCTGAGTGCTTAAGGACAGGTTCTGCTGAGAATAGACATTTGAGTTTCTCGAATTCCGCTTGGCATTCCATTGTCCAGATAAGGGCTTGCCTTGGTTTGGGTTTCTCCCCCCCTTTCGTTTTTAGCAAGTTCATGATAGGGAGGGCAATGTTTGCAAAAGCTGGAATGAATTGGCGATAAAAGTTCGCAAAACCCCAGGAAGCTTTGCAGTTGTTTGTGGGTGTGCGGAGGGTCCCAGTCCAGTCCAGCTTTTACTTTCTGTGGGTCCATCTCTATTCCCTCGTGGATATTCTATATCCCAAATAGTCAATTTTTTCTTGGTGGAATTCGCATTTGGAGAGTTTTGCGTATAGTTTAGCATCTAAGAGTTTTGTGAGGACTGCACGGAGTAGCTTGATGTGTTCTTCCATCGTAGATTAAAATATCATCAAGATACACTAGAACCTCTTTATATAAAAATTCATGAAGGGTTTCATTGATCAATTGCATAAACACGGGAGGCGCTCCTTGCAGTCCAAAGGGGAGCACTTTAAATTGGTAGCATCCCAATGGTGTGTTAAACCCTTCCTTTATTCTGATGCGGTAATATGCCTCTCGTAGGTCTAACTTTGAAAAAAAATTTCCTTTCGAGAGGTGGGCTAACATGTCCTTCATGAGGGGGAGTGGATACATATTCTCTATGCAAATTGCGTTCAACGCACAAGCGTGCTGAGCCATTTTCTTTTCGCGGAATAACACTGGAGCAGCTCTTTTTGGTCAGGCGGGTTCTATTAAACCCCTTTTTAAATTTTTATCGATAAATGCTCTGAGTTCTTTCAATTCTCTGGGGGACATGCAGTACATTTGTGGTTTGAGGAATTTAGCCCCTGGTAGGATTTTGATAGCACAGTCTGTGGCGCGATGGGGTGGGAGTTCATCACAAGCTTCCTCACTAAATGCTTGGGCCAGGTCCTGGTACTCATTGGGGATGTTAATGGATTCAGCCGACTGTCCGGTCATGGCTGATTCTCTGTTCTCTGTCCCTTTCTTTATCCTTTCCTCTGAGCTATTTGCAGATATTATGTCTCTCTGGAATTGTACGGTTCCTGTCCTCCAATTTATTTTTGGATTCCATTTCCGCAGCCATGTGAGACTTAGGACTAGCGGCTCTTCCATTCCTGGTGCTACAATGAATGTGAGCATTTCCCTGTGGTTCCCTAGTCTTATTTTTAATGGTTCTATGGTTAACCTGGCTGGCTCCCCCCCCCTCCACTATAGTTCCATCTAATTGGCAGAAAGCGATGGGATTTTCCATTTCTTTCAGTTGGATCCCCAATTTCTCTGCAAGGGAGGGATTTATTAGGCATCAGGTACATCCCGAATCCAGCAACGCTGCAACTTCCTCCCCCTTCCCTCGGCTGGGGATAAACAGTCTCGGGGGTAGGGTGATTGGTTCAATTGGATTGCTTACCAGCGGGTCATCTTCCGCCTCGCTTTCGGACTGGCTCAGGTCCCCTCGGATCATTGGGGGTTCTTCTTCTGGGTTGGTGGGGGATTGGAATCCCATATCTACTCAGCCCCTCAGGCCAGTCTCCTTTCCTCGAGGGCTGGATGTTCTGGGTTTCCCCCCTGCTGGGTGGTCTAGCTTTCTGGCAGGGGTCTTCGAATGGCATTCTGCTGCACGGTGTCCCTCTTTTTCACACTTAAAGCAACCAGACATTCTTGGAGTCATGGTGGATTGGGGTTTGAAGACTTCCCATTTCCCCAGGGGTGGGGATCTCTTCCAAGACTTGCCACTGCGGTACCAGTTTTGAGTCATGTCTATCTCCGCTTCCTCTGCCATCATGTACCATTCATGCAACAGGTTTGGAGCCCCACGGGCCAGGCAGGCAGCGTATAGGTCATCATTTAGTCCATCTTTGAACCAACAGACTAGAATATCCTCTGGCTAGTCTACCCGGCCAGCCAGGTCACAAAATTCCTTGGTGTATTCTGCTACCAGGCGACGGCCTTGTTTTACGACTCTAATGCAGTCGCGGGCTTTTCTATCGGCAAGGGGGTCCTCGAAGTGGTGGCGTAAGGCTGGCATTAAGCGATCGAGGTTCCTTAATTCTGGGGCATTGACATTGTGGAGCGTCACCATCCGGCTGCTGCCCCTTCAAGGGCCAGGGTGACAATTCGTACTCGGGACCCCTGGGTTGGGAAATCCCGCCCATATTCTTGCATGTAGATGAGCACTTGTGCCAGGAAAAATCCCAGTTTCTGGGGGTCTCCATCAAATTTTACCCCCAAGGGTGGGATCTTCCTCTGCAGTTGGATGTCTCTAGGTTGGCCAGGGTTAATCCCCTGATCCAGGGCGTTTAGGGGTCGCGTACCTGGTATGGCTCCTGGTTCTTTGGCTTGTCCCTCTGCCCGCTCAATCTCTGCTGGATCCAGGGTGGCGGCTCAGGTTCTCTCATTTTCTGGTTCCCTCGCTCTCCTGCGTTGTCGTCCTGGTGCATCCCTCATCTCGATGTTCTCCAGGGCCTCCCTCAGGAGGCGATTTATGTACCGTCTCATTCGGTCGTCAGCCGGTGGCTCCTTGTCCCATTCTTCCTGATTCGATAGGGTCTCCAGCTCCAATTTCCACCCAGGTTTACGATTGCCCCGGGTGAAGGTTACTCCTCTGGTTCTTCCGTCCCATCTCTCTTTTTCCTACACCTATAGACCACTGGGGCTTGGTGGAGGTTTTGTAGGCAGCCTCGCTGTCTTCAATGGGGTGCACCAAGTCAGTATCTGGCTGGGTAACTGTTGATGTTTCTCCCCAGCATTCGGCTTCCCCTTGGTCCTTGCTGTACTCAGACATTTTCCTTTCTTGCAGGGTCCCCTCGGTAGAGTGAAGGTTTTTTTGTTTTTTTTTTAAATTCCTCTCCGGGCTGACCTCTATTGCAGACGCTGCTTTATGTCAGGCTACATAACTTTTCCCATTCACTCAACTAGAATGAACTTCTGAAAACGTATCCAAACGTATCAAAAAGGAATCCTTTATTGAGATGAGACAATTCCTGTAGCAGTTCAAAGCAGTGTCTGAGGTCTCTCAGGCATACAGGGATACATAAGGGAGTTTAGAACCCCTCCCCTTATCTCCATGTGTATTTAGTGAAACAAAAGCCACTATGTTAATTCCTCCCCACCCCCTTTTTAAAAGGAACGATCTTTTTCAGTTTCCCAGGGCATACCTAGTTTCCCCCCCACCCCCCCCCCCTTTTTAGAATGAACTATTCAAGAGATTTCCAAGACACATCCCACTGTGGAATTTTTATGATCTTCTCATTTCCTGGTTGTGCCTCTCAGAGGTGATAGTTCTGGCCATCTGGCTTTTCTCCCTCCATTGTATCATGTGTGGGTTATACAAATTCGATATAAGATTAAATATATTCAGGTTACATTAAGAAAGGATTTCTTTATCAGCCTCCCCCCACTTTTCTTGTTCCACTGAAGAAATGACAGATACACGGATCTGACAGTGTGGCTATTCCTTACATGCATTTTGTCTGTATGTTTTGGACATAGTATTCACCCGGACTTTTCCTTTGGCCAAAGAATAAAAAAGATATTTTTGCAAGCTTTGCCTCGTGTCTCACTCTCTTTGGCATCTCAGTGGCTCAGGAACCTTACAGCTTATTATTTGATCCAGTACTAACATTTACATATGTAGCTCTTCAAAAAATCATTAAGTATTTTCCAAGTTCAACCTAAGAAAGCAATCTATCTACCATTTTTCAATACTTGTACTTCTGAAATAAGCATGTTTAGGATTGCAATTCCTATAATTTCTAATGTATTATATGATTTAACATTACAATCAAAACTTTCTGATGTTTGAACATTGAGTTGCCTATTATTTTCTCAGGTAGGAGAGAGAAATTGATAGGAAGAATAGAGATTCATGCAATCCTTACACTTGTAAATATTCTTGGACAATTGTCACAACAGAATAGTGCTAACATAGGTAACACAGTTAAAAGCTGCAATTATTTGAAATGTAAGAATTATCTGTATCCATTATAGTTCATAAACAACCATAAACTAATCACAAATGCAGGCTTATTCATTCATCTTTTTAAAAAGCTTTATTTGTTTTATTAGTATAATATATAAATATTCCAGTTCAATTGAACAGTTTGTTGTCTGGGTACAATTATTTTTAGGCAATCATAAATCAGAGTGTTTACAATAACATGTATCACAATAACATTAATATTTAGTTACAGTAATATTTTGTTTGTCCATTTTAACAAATTTCCATTTTAACATTTATCCTTTTTATGTCCCTTTCTTTCTGTTTTTATTGTCTAGTCATTGATAAAATAAGTCCCATGTCAAGAAGTGTTTAGTTTATCATTCGGAGCATAAATTGCAATCAAGAGTGTTTTTATATTATTATCCATTATTTCCTCCATTAATACTCTTCCGTCTTCATCCGTATAAATCAATTTTGCTGGGATGACCTCTTTGATGTATAGAACCACTCCTCTTTTCTTACATTGAGTCAAAGAAGTAAATATTTTCCCTAATTTTGGTTGTACTAACAATTGTTCATGTTATTTTTTGATATGTACTTCTTGTAAACAAATTATATCAAATTTTAATTTCTCTAATTTATGAAAAGTTTTCCTTCTTTTAACAGCTGAATTGAGTCCATTTATATTCATTGTAATCAATTTTTTTTCTTCCATGATTATGCTTTATATTTAGGTCTAACAGCTCTCATGGATCTCACTTCACGCTGTTCTTTACTATCCACCTGTCCACCTACTGCACCTTCCTCTTCTTCAATCTCCAGTTGTTCCTCTTGAAACTCTTCTCTGCCTCTGCTTCTATCCTTCCAAAAAATTCTGCGTGGAAAAGTTTTGCTTTCTCAATTGAATCAATTCTATGTCTCTGTTCTTGCCATGTAAACATTAATCCTTCTGGAATCAGCCATCTATAATTCACTTCCTTATTCAATAACATTTTGGTCAGGAATCGATATTCTCTTCTCATCTCTCTCACTCTTCTGGGTATTTGTTTTAAAACCACAATCTCTTTGCCTTTGTATTTCAATATCTTCTCTCTTACAACTTGTAGTATTTGTGTTTTGATGGATTTTTTGGTAAATCTAATATGGACTTCCCTTGGTAATTTATTTCTCATTGCATATCTTGTAAAAACTCGGTATACCTCATCTATTCCATCCATCATCTTTTCCTCTGTAATTTCCAACGCATCCGCCAAAATTTCTATCATTATCGCAGCCAAGTTTTGTCCTTTTTCTTCTTCTATATTTTGAAATCTGAGATAGAATTCTGACCTCTCCATCTCCCACCTCAACATCCCACTTTTATCTTGTTCAACTACTGTTAATCTGCTGTCAATATTTCCAATCTTCTCCTCTCTTTGTTCACCTTCTTCCTCAATTTTTTGGAATCTCTCATCATACTTCGCCATCATTTGTTGAATATTTTCAATTTTTTCATCAGTCTTCCCTGTTCTTTGTTCAATATTCTCTATTCTTTGTTCAATGGCGTCTGATTTTGTCTTGAGATCTTGGATTCCTTGCATAATCATCTGTAAAGTCACTTTTTCTTGTTCTTTATCTTGCTTCAACATTGTCTGAATCAAGCGTTGTCCAGCTGGTGGGGAGGCAGAGGTAGAAGTAGAAACGCCAGAAGATATGGGTTTTCTGCTCATTTTGATGCTTCAACACCTTCAAATTCTTTTTAGCTTTTAATCCAACTGGTAGAATAGCCAATTATAATCCAAAATGGAAAAATCCAATAATAAAAAGCCCAATAACAAAAAAAAGGAGAAAAAGAAGAAGAAAATCTTCAGGTTCTTCTAGACCCTAATCCAATTATGAAGTAGTCCAAAGTAAAAAATGAAAAATAGAAAGAAGAAGAAAAAAACCAAAACCCAAAAATAATAATAATCTTTAATCCAATTGGGAAGTCTCAATAATAAAAAAGAAAAGGCAGAGTGGTCCAAAAATATAAATGAAAAAAGCAGAAAGAATCCCAGTAAAAAAAAGGAGAAGAAAAGAAAAATAAATAAAAAATTCTGAGGCTTTCCCTTTAAAATAAAAAGCAAAAATAAGAATATTACTAAAATTAAGGTTTACAGAGAGGCTGGTGAGTAGGGGTACACGACTGAAAAAAGATTTTTTTTAAAAAAACACACTGCACTCTATTTATTTGTCCAAGGCTCTTATTATGACTCTCTTCTCGACAAGCTTCAAGGCCAAGCCTCAAGTGTTGAAATGTTGATAAGGGTCCAGGAGAGCACCTGTAATAATATTATGCTACGCTCTCCCTCTATCTTATCAAATTGAAATGTCCTTGAGAAGTAGTCTTTTCAGAGTTCTTCTCCAATTCAAATAA